TATATATATATATATATATATATATGTGTGTGTGTGTGTGTGTGTGTGTGTGTGTGTGTGTGTGTGTGTGTGTGTGTGTGTGTGTGTGTGTGTGTGTGTATATATATATATATATATGTATATATATAATATTAGTTAGGGTTTGGTATTTAAAACGAAAAATAATTAAAATAAATAATTACGGGTATTTAAAAATCAAAATAATTACATAATAATTATCTACAAATAAAAACGCACATGTTGTGCTAATACAACAGTTAATACGAAATAGTCGAAATATACACATATTATACAATTAAATGAGAATAATTTATAATAAAATATGTCTACTTACATTTAAAATTAAATAATTATGGGATAATTATCCACATAGTAAAACGTACTAGTTATAAGTTGATACATAATTTTATAAATAATACAACAAATTACACAAATAATATGTAAATAATAATATAACATACTATACGAAATAATACGTAATAGTAACAATAATACAACGTATTATTTAAAACAGCACGTTATAGTATCAATAACACAATAGATAAATTCTAAAAAAATTCACCGTACTAAATAAATTTATAAATATTTAAATCATTTAAATAAATATAAAATCAAATTTTTAAATCATAGAAAATTCTAGAAAATCAAGAAAAATACAAATACTTTTTTAAGGATCATAATTAAATATTTTAAGATACAAAAAAATGTTTTAATTAGTATCAAAAATTCATGGTCCTTACAGCTAATTTCGGGTCGGTTCGGTTAGTTTTTTTGGTTTGGACCGAACCATGCACAACCCTACCCTTGACTTACCCACCAAGTCAACTTGGCTTCCAAAAATCTATTAACTTGGCCTCTAAAAAATTACTAGAATTGGACCTCGCCTTCAAATCCGGATTCAACTTGAAGTTTGAGTTGGTACCCAACATGTCCTCCATTGATAAAAAAATCTCCAAGTATCTATACGGGTTCAAAAAAATTCACTCTCTTCTTCTTGTTTTTCACCACTCCATATGGATAGGAATTTGAGAAGAGTCACCTACACCATTAACAGATCGCCCATCTAAATAGCAAATGTAGTTGCTATTCTTCCTCCTTCGCAAAATTAAATCACCATCTTTATACACTTTGCACTACTCTTCTTCACCCACATACTTGTATCAATGCAATGTCATGTCACACTATGAAATTAAATTAGAACCATATGGCGATACATATCTCACTTGATAAAGAAGTCTAACCTTCCCAGTGTGAAGCTTGAGGCGAACACTCCCAACTCCTTCAAAATCTTTGTTTTCTTGTTGTTTCCAACTGCTACATCGCCAAATTATTCATCCGTCTTTAATGTATCAAAATAATTTTTGTTGTTACAAACGTGCATAGAGGCTGTAGAATCTAACACCTAAGGGTTACTCGCATCAATGCCAGTACTTTCCATCATCAGCACCACATCTTTATCACACGCAACTTCGGAGGAGTCAACATTCTTCCCATTTTCTTGAAGCTTTATCTGTCTTATATTCTTCAAGTTATCTCGCATTTGGGAACACCTGAACTGAATGTGACTCTTCTTTCCACAATAGTAGTACTCCCTTTCGCTGTCGTCTCGGACCCGAGATTTTGACGTTCCTCGATAACTGTCACATCTCCCCTTACTCCTTCCTCAATTAGAACCTTTAAAAACTAGTGCACTCTTACCATCATTAGATGTACTCTCCTTTCCCATCATTCTCTCATTTTCTTGTAAGAGTTTTGTCACATCTTCAAACTTTAAAGTTTGCTTCCCTATAATTATCATTTGAACTAATAGCTTGTATGACTTCGGTAAGGAAGACAGTAGGAGTAGTGCCTGCTCTTCTGCGTTAATCTCCTCATCAATATTCATAAGTTGGCAAACTACCTGATAAAAGGGATTGATGTGCTCTTGAATTTCAGTGCTTTCTTCCATCTTCAATGAATAAAGCTTCATCCTCAAACATAATCGGTTGGTCATTGACTCTGATGCATAAATCCCCTCGAGCTTATCCTATAATCTCCTCAGTGTGATCTCTTGCATAACATTGTACTTGATCTCGGGAGCGAGTGCCAAACAAATTGTGCTAATCATCTTCTTTTTCATAGAACTCTATTCAGCATCCTTTATCCCTTTAGGCTGCTTCTTTTTCAAAGCTTAATCAATACTCTGCTACACAAGAATATCTTAAACTGTGCACTACCATGCTGTAAAATTTATTTTGTTATTGAATAGCGGAATATCGAACTTCGGATCTGAAAGAAGTCATTATCCTCTAACCACAATCAAATTCAAATAAGTCACTATAGAGACTGAATTTGGTAGAACCGATTTAAAAAACGAACTCAACACGTCGAAAAACCCTAAAAATATGTCATGGATTATCAAATTCTGCCTCCAATTCTCCAATTGGCCGAAAAACCAATTCAACAAAGACAGTCCACACAAGATCTGAATCCAACCAACTCCAGCAAATTCCCATCTGAGTCTAGCTACTGTTCACATGTACAGCACTCTCTGCCACGTGATTTTTTTTTTTCAACCACGTGAACAAATTTACCTTGTGCGGAAATTGCTTCTCTTCTGCTTTTCTCCCCGCTACAAGTTTTTACCGACAGAAATTTGATTTTTAATAACTAAAACTTTCCTTTGACCCCTACACCAATTACGATTGCCTATTGGCCCTCCAAATCCTCCTCCAACAGTGTACGGCTCTCTCATTCCCCCGATGTCGATCACCGCGCCTCAATCTCTGTCGCCTTCACCGATCGCACCGCTCGAACCTCCATGAACCGTCAAACACCACTTGTTGGGATTTTTGATCTTACAGTAATCTCAAAAACCACCAACCCAACAAATAGAATCACCAAATGATTTAACGTGGTCAACCCTCAACAGGAAAAAACCACGAGATTAAAAATAATCCACTATCACCTCCAAATCATAATTTTTTGCACGGATAAAGACTGTCAAACGCAACCCCCTCCCGCCCCCCCCCTCTCTCTCAATAATGCCCTTGAACCGCGGTTGCACCCTCTGTTAAACATTGATTTCAAAAATATTATCTCTCTCCCTATGTATACTTAAAAAATTCTAGAATAGGACGCTTTATTTAAAGACACCCCTGACTTCGCCTACCAAGTCAACTTTGCTTATGAGAAACCTGTTAACTTGACCTCTAAGAAAACTACTAGGACTGAGCCTAACCTTCAAGTCTGGATCCAACTTAGAGTTTGAGTTGTTACCCAACATTTTTAAGACAAACCAAAATCAAAGAGGGGTCACACGTAAATAGCCATTAAAAGTTCTCTCTATATATTTCTCCTGCATTGGCATTTGTACACTCAATAGAGAAAGTAGAAGAGAGGTCATGGCAATTGAGCACTGGCGCCAAATACTTATGCTCCTTTTCATTTCCCTTGTGTTCATTGGCGCGGTGAATGCTGAATTTCTGCGCTTCAAACACCAAAACTCTCCCATAAAAGGTAAGTAATGTTTTCATTTTGCTGAAAGACATAAACTTATCTATTCAAACTAAGCGTGATTTAATTTTGAGCAAGTTAAATATATGTTTCGGGCAAGGTAAACATATGTTCCTATTTTATTTCTTCTTACAGAACAATGTGACATTTTTCGCGGAAAATGGATATCGGACCCTTTGAATCCGCCATATACCGAAAACTGCAACTCCATGGACTATTATCTGAATTGCTTGAAAAATGGTCGGCCTAATAGAGAGTACCTTCACTGGAGATGGAAACCATACGACTGTGATTTGCCTCATTTTGATTCGGAGATTTTTTCGGATATGATGAAAGATAAATCCTTTGCATTCGTTGGCGACTCGCTCGCTCGCAATCAGATGGAGTCACTGATGTGTCTGCTCTCCAAGGTATGAAGTCCCTTCCGAATGTCGAACAACAAAGAATCTGACTCTGTTTTAACATTTCTCAACGAACCTAACCAGGTTGAGGACCCGCAGCTGGTGTATCAAGACGCGACGATACCACGCACCAGAACTTGGTATTTTCCGTCCTTCAACTTCAGTCTCGCTTCCATTTGGTCTCCTTTTCTTGTGCAACCTGATAGTCCTATAGTAGATGTCCTCTCAAGGCAGCCCATACGGCTGCATCTCGACAATGTTGACAGCAGTTGGGCGAGTCGATACCATGAATTCGACTATTTACTAGTTGGTGTCGGAGCTTGGTTTGATCATCGTACCATTATTATGGAGAACAACTCCGTTGTTGGTTGTCACGATTGTAAATACGAGCGTATGCCTGAAATTGGGACGCCTTACATTTACCACAAAGCTGCAGAGCTAGCTTTCAACTTCATGATCGCGTCTGAGCACAAACCATTCGTAATGTATAGAACTCACACTCCGAATCACTTTGAAAATGGTCGTTGGGATCAGCACGGGAATTGCAATAGAACAATGCCGTTTAAAGAAGGCGAGTTCGAGGGTGACGAGCGAGATCGAGAGCTTCTATCCATAGGTAGAGAGGATTTTACGAAGGCAGCGAACAGCGCTGAAGGTTGTGAGAACTTGAGACTGTTGGATATTTTCCATCTCTCTGTGCTTCGACCAGATGGGCATCCAGATAAGTACAGAGGGCTTGAAGGGCTCCCAAATGACTGCCTGCATTGGTGCATGCCCGGTCCGATCGATGCTTGGAATGATCTGATGATGGAGATGATACTCAGGCGCCGTGAAGAGCTCGAACATGGTTATTGAGGAGGCGCGCAACCCTCGATATATATTTTCAAATGTATTGGGCAAAAACTAGCAAATAATTTCTTTTCTTAGTTTAATGTTTGTTTCCGTCTGGCTTATTGAGGCGTTAGTTTATGGATGTCAGTGAAGGTGTTGAGCTCACTATCCATAACAAAAAAATGTCAGACGTTCAACTTTTATTAAAGTGAATAATTTGAAGATATTTGGTAGCTCCCTTAGTAATTCACGGATGGTGATGGCCCTGATGGGAGAAGGATCTAAAAGACTGTACAATTATTTGATGATATATTGTTAGCACATGACTTTCCTGAAAGTTATCAAGACTGTCGTCACCCACACGGAAATGAGACAAGTATCTAAGATGTATAATTATAATAAGAGGGTGTTTGTTTCACCAAAATTTTTGTCATTTGGTATGGATTATAATTAAGTTTTGGGATTAAAAAGTGAGTTTTTTTTGTATTTTGGGATTCCATATATGGTGTTTGTTTTAAGAAATTTTTTAGAATATTGAATCCCAAAAGTACAAAAAGTGCCCAATTTTTAGAATTTGCCAAATCTTCTAAATTGGAGAGGATTTTGACAAATCTCATAAATGGGTGTGTTTACCTCTCAATTGGAGAGGATTTGATAAATATCAATTTTGTCTTTTTGTGGGAGGTAACCTCACCAAGATAGCATATTCATCATATTATAAATTTTTGGCATTTGGTAATGCTACAATTTGAGCTTGAAACAAACAAAATATTATAAATTGTAGTATTCTAATAAATCTCAAAATATTAATGAAACAAACAACATTTTAGAAATCTCAACCCATAACAAAACATCTATGGATTTCAAATCTTATGGTGAAATTCATATCCTAAAATTATAGGATTTGAAACAAACACCCCCTAAGTATCGAGATCTTTCCAATTTTTTTTAGTACAGAGCCATAATCAAAGATGGATTACACTTAATTAAACATTAACGCCTCGTTTGGTATGCAGGAATAAGTGGGAATGGAATGCAATTCCTACTCTCTATTCATGCGTATCAAACACGATGTATTTTTAGACGTTAGAATTGCTATTCTCACTTCTTATCAATTCCCACTTTATGTGGAAATTGTCATTCCCAACAATTTAACAAGGAATTGATATATAATATATATATATATATATATTATATATATATATTATATATATATATATATAAATATATATATATATATATATATATATATATATAAACAAATATGGGTATGCTTGGTACAAGCACAAATTTTGTACTTGGTAGTGAGGTGACACAACCCCCTCATTCATTCAAATGGGGGATCACATCACATGGGTTGAAGGAGTGCATGAGGATATGCAACTATTTGAATGAGTGAATAAGATTATGCCACCTCACTACCAAGCACAACTTTTTGTGTTTGGTACAAAATTATACCCATTTCTAAATATATATATTATATATGATATATATATATATATATATATATATATATATATATATATATATAATTATATATATATATATATATATATATATATATATATGTTGATGTAAATATGCAACACATGTCAAATATAAGTCAGCGGAGTTGGAAGGGGCCGCTTTCTTCTTCGACTTTATGCCTGATTTCGGACTTAGGATGATTGAGCAATCTACACACAAGGAGTCGTAAGAGGGCGGAGATAAGTTCCCTCGTGGTACCTCCGACGATCAAGTCAGTTGATGAACTTGAGCTTGAGTGGAGTAACAGAACTATGTGTTCTTGCTTTTGTGTAGTGCGTGCTCTTGGGGGTTTTAGATTGTGAACCTCTAGCTATAGCGAATAACATATGCATTTATAGGGGATGCCGAGGGCAGATTGGTCACTTCATGAGTATGCAGTAAGACGGTTGTGAGGCGGTGATGAGGATTGAGTTGGAAAATAAGTCATCATTTGCTCCGTACGTGTTGGTTTGTGAGTGGCGGGAGATCACTTCGACAGCATTGGGAGCCAGTGAGGACGGAGACATAATGATGACTATCAAAGATTAAACAATGTTGAGAAGTGATACCTATGCTGACGGGTTTGAGATAAGGGCAACCCTTTAGCTTCATCGAGAAGCAAGGTCCTTAGGGTCATATCTTTGAGTTGTTGATTCTCGTGTCGACCGACACCGCCTTTCGCGTCGACTCAGAAGTGTTGACCTGTCCGACTGGTTGGAATGTCGTCTCGTCTCAGCTAATAACCATCTCTCGAGTTGAGAATGTCGACTAGTCTGGGAGGTCAGGATCTCTCATGTCGACTGTCACCGCTTCTCGCGTCGACACTGGGGTGTCGGCTTGTTGGGCTGGTTGAGATGCTGATGTATGTTGAGAAAATTGCAAAGAAGAGAATAAAGAAAATGTGACTTTGATTTCTTTGATCTCGGTTACAACTTGATTACAAAAGAGAGGAAAACGAATTTGGTTTTCCCCTTTGTTTAAAACTGGGTTCTTCTTGGCAGTGATGGAGTGCTTCCTTCGATTGATTGCGTCGAACTTGCTCTCCGTTGACGATCCGACCGTCTTTATCTCGTGGGAACGATGAACTTTCGTGGAAAGTTTTATAAATAACTCTGAATGAGTTTAAGAACTCTGAACGAGTTTGAACTCTGTGAACAGAGTTGTTGGAACCGAAAATTCGGTTAATGATCAAGCTGTTTTTCTGTTGTCGAAGAATCCTCTCAGATTTGATCTTCTGAGTTTTGATTCAAAAATCCTATCTCTAAGGATTTCGTTGCTGCTGAATCTCCAAGCCTGAGTGGTTGAGATCCTGAGAATCCAACCTGTGCGGTTCAGATGTCAAAAATCCAACCACTCACCCCTTAGTTTTTAAAGAGCCAGCCCCTTTAACCAACTCGTCTGGTTTAGATTCTGATGATCCAACCCTTTACTCCGTTGGGTTTGTTGAGCTTTTATAGGGGGATAGGAGATTGTAACTGACTCCTATATCCGCTCCTATGTGGGCGAAAATCCCTCAGGACGTGGGAAAAACGGTTTTGGAACCGTTCGACTCATGTTTGAGTGAGTCAAACGCCCAATCTGGCGTTCAGAACCTCAACTTCGTGTTCTTTGAATTGAGACGCGAAGTTGGGTGTTAGCTGAACACCATTGAACGCGAGGGTCGCTCACGTTTGGCTTGTGCATTGACGACGCGAGGGTCGCCTTCATTTCCAACTTGGTGACGCGGGGATGACATCCGCGTTTCAGAAGGAGCCATTTGACTTGTAACTTCTTCTGTAGAGCGTTGCAAGGACCGTTGTTCAATAATCCTAGCTTTAGCTGTTGTGGGGTGTGAAAGCCGTCAGATTGTAACTTTCACTGTAGATTGTGAAGACTGCTGTATAGAGTTTTCATCAGTCGTCAGAAGTATCGTTGAATTGTAAAAGTCCTCTATTTACCGCTTTCGACTGCCGATCCGAAAACTATTTGATTGTAGCTTTCGTTGTTGGAGCTAGACGGGAATCAACATCCATAGTGTCTTAAAGATGAATATTCGCCCATAGCTCTCTACCAAGCAACTATTCGACTATATGTTTCGATCATCGACCCGAAAGCTATTTGATTGTAGCTTTCGTTGTAGGAGCTAGACGGGAATCAACATCCATAGTGTCTTAAAGATGAATATTTGCCCACAGCTCTCTACCAAGCAACTCACCAACTGAGTCCAACCTTTTATTTCTGAAATCATCCCATTGCTCATCAACATCTCATGCTGTTGTCACAGCCATCAAGATCAATCATCTCAGAAGTGAGGTCGCGTTTGTGGCGATTGTGGAGTTACGGATGCAGTGATTTAGAAAGTCGTCTGATTGTGACTTTCATTGTCGGAGCTTGTTTGAATAAGCTATCTATTGTGATTTTTAGACAGCCTACAGAACCCCCTCCAAAGTTTTCGAAAGTTCGCGGTTGACTGGGATGAATTTTCGGAATACTTTGGATCTCAAAAATTTAGTGGATTGATTACTTCTTCCGTCTGATCGAGCCAAATGATTTCGACGTTGTTGATTGTAATCTATCTGTACCCCTCCAATAGACTCCCCAGTGGAGTCGTTTGTTTCTTCCCGGCTTTGGTCGCCTTGGTAGCCAAGAAATTGCTGTTCATGGTGGTCTCAACACAGAGATGCCTTCTGCATTTGAGAATTGGAACGCGTGGGTGAGCCCAGCGTTGGGAAATTTGAACGCGCAGGTGAGCATCGCGTTTGGAAGCTGAATCAACTCGAACGCGAGGGTCGAGTTTGGGCGGGCTGATGGCCTCGAATCCCGTCCGTTAGGATTTGACAGCTCATAGCTGTCTATAAATAGACCGCTAGGGGTCAAATCAAGAGTCATTCGACTCTTCTTGAAAATTTAACGAAAAAATTTCGTTTTCTTCTCCGGCGGCAACTGCTCATCTTCTCCGACGAGATCCCATGGCACCCAAGAAGTCCTCCAAGTCCGACGTCGCTTCCAAGCCTGATGCCGCCGTTCACCGACCCGAAAACTATTTGATTGTAGCTTTCGTTGTAGGAGCTAGACGGGAATCAACATCCATAGTGTCTTAAAGATGAATATTTGCCCACAGCTCTCTACCAAGCAACTCACCAACTGAGTCCAATCTTTTATTTCTGAAATCATCCCACTACTCATCAGCATCTCTAATAGTTAATATAATATTAGTGCTGTTGTCGCAGCCATCAAGATCAATCATCTCAGAAGTGAGATAGTGTTTGTGGCGATTATAGAGTTACGGATGCAGTGATTTAGAAAGTCGTCTGATTGTGACTTCCATTGTCGGAGCTTGTTTGAATAAGCTATCTATTGTGATTTTTAGACAGCCTACAGAACCCCCTCCAAAGTTTTCGAAAGTTCGCGGTTGACTGGGATGAATTTTCGGAATACTTTGGATCTCAAAATTTAGTGGATTGATTGCTTCTTCCGTCTGATCGAGCCAAATGATTTCGACGTTGTTGATTGTAATCTATCTGTACCCCTCCGATAGACTCCCCAGTGGAGTCGTTTGTTTCTTCCTGGCTTTGGTCGCCTTGGTAACCAAGAAATTCTTCGCGTCTGA